AAACCTGGAAGGGCTGAAGTTAAGAAATGTTAAACTCATAACTATGAAGCTTCTCTTTGAAAACAATTTTCCTGATGAATTCTTCTAGTTCATTTTGTCATGATTAATACTAAACTTACTAACACAATATGCATGCTTGATTGAGAGGAAAGTAACAATGGAATTATTGAAAAACCATGCTTGCATTTCATGTAGAAAAGTGAGGAAGAGCCACAAGAATGACTTCGGATTTCATACACATAACAAAAAACAATGGGTAAAGAAATGCATCAGCAGAATATTAAAAATGAAACACTGCTCAGTGCAGGCTGATGTAGATGCATGATATCTGCACACTCAGTAAGCTGTACCTGAGCCCCAGCTAGTGGTGGGAATTACTGATGGCATTTTTACAGGAAAGATGAGTATGTTCATAACAGAAAAGCTTCAGACTCTTATGTATTGTCTCCTACTCATCAAGCCTGGTTTTATTTTTAAAATGCTTCCAACAAAACAAAAGCTACATATTGGTTATTCATGGTTTGTCTACACCATCTATAGAGCACTTCAGTGGTTCTGGGTGATCCAGCTGCTGGAAATTGGAATTTCCAGGAGTGCAGACAGGAGTGCAGACAATGAGATGCTTTCTCCATTCTTGGTGCTATTTTCATCCCCTGAGCCAGCTTGCCACTACACACATAGTAGGCAGCACAACCAAGAGTTGGAAATGATTCTCACATGTTCTTCCTTCCATGGAGTATTGTCAACATATTCTCTCAACATCAATATTTCTTGATGAAGTAAGTTTAAGTGATTAATTCAGCTAGGAAACTCATGGTCGTCAATTTTCTGGACCCAATCCTGTAGTGTTCAAATCAGTTTATAGAGATAGTCCTAAAATATCTGCTCTGGTTTGCATGGAGATTGTCCAATGCCATTGATAAATTTACATTCTAGTGAACTTTATCTTTAGCCCTGTGACACAGTTGGTGTAATTTATACAGATGAATTTTAGCCAGTTAGTGTGAGTAGCATGCAGGAAATGGCTGCTAAGTCTATCTTAGTACAACTGCCCCATGCCTGGAAGTGTCCAAGGCCAGGCTGGCCAGGGACAGTGCAAGGTGTCCCTGCCCATGGCAGTGGGGTAGCACTGGATAATCCTTAAGGCCCAATCCAACCCATTCTATCAAGTCCTACAGAATTTACCTGCTGGACTGAAGATCTCAGCAGCTGTCACGTTCTGGAGAGGGCAATTATCAGTCTTGGACAGGAGTCATCTCTTGTATAAAACAGGGTAAAAGTCTTGGATCACAACCTGTGATCAAGAGGGAATGAATCAACACAACTGACTTAACAGCCCTCTCCTGTCCCATCACATATCCTGGCTACCCTTGTGCTAAACTCTGTCAAATGGGATTTGTGGGAAAGCCCCCCGGAGCAGGATATAGAACCAAATATCTAAGATTAACTAGGTGTGACCTATGATCAGCTCCATAAAGTGGTCCTGAAAAGGGACCTCTCCATAGCTGTAGGAAAAGCAGCACATGTGGGTCAGCAGGTGAGGAACTTTTGTGCAATGTAACAGGTGAGTGACAGCACAGACAAGAGTGACAATGAAACCATGAGACATTTGGGTCGTGTGAAAGCTTGCTTTAGCTGTGAAAAATTAGATTTTTGTAACAAGATCTGCTACAGGTGCAGCCTGTAGAAAGCAGAAACGAGGACTGTGAAGGACCTTGAGGTTAGAAGGGCTCACCTAAACCAGCAGGAACATTTAATGCTTGAGATCATTCCCTAGGACATTTTGAGAGCAGCTTCCCAAAATATCTTAGCAGTTGAGTCGATTCTTTATTTTCCAAAACTACACTTCTAGAAAAAGATGGTAATATTGCTTAAATTCAGAGCTATTAATAACCAGTAACCCAAGCAGTTCAGTCTCTCCCAGAGCCATAGCATGCAGCACATTGTCTTCTATGGTTATGAGGACAAACCAGAACAGCACAGAAAGTTACAATAAAAGAGACCTTGTCCCATTTAACGAGAGAAGAACTGGCCATACTGGTATCACTGGAGTCCACCCACTCTCAAGGCTACTTTCGAATTTCTGATTAAAAAAAAAATCTTTTCTAGAAATGTTTTTTCCTGCCATGGCTCACTAAGATTTTCACACACAAGAAGATAATTCTCTTTAACCCACAAGTCACCTTTTCAGTCACTCTGAATATATTTAGTCAGACACACAAGATTTACAAAAATATTTTTGCCAGTGCGTGTTTACACTCCTCCAAGTAACCACAAAACTTATTCATCATTTTAGAGAGACAACAGCAGAAATATTGATGTTTTCAGAATACAAAAAATTAAGTGCTCAGAACTTTATTCAAATAAAGATTTGTAGGCTTCTCTGACAACTGACAACTGACAACAAGTGTAAATTAAAAGTGCAGCTCCCCTGGAACACCACCAGATGGTAGATATTCTCAGTATAAATGTGGGGAAAATAAAGATGACTTGTTCATACAGTTGGAGAAAAGCTATTATTTCTGTTATTTGTGATACTTTTGGGGAATCTTATACTTAACCTTGAAGGTAGAAAAGTTCATATTCTAGCTAGTTGGGTATGTAATTTGTTCTATGTTTTAAATTTTTCTGTTATAGGTGTAGGGCTCTAACATGTTAAACGGGAACCTTGATTTTTCTTAAAATGACCCCCAAATTTACACAGGTATAACTAGTCTAGCTTACTTATAAAATTAAATGTTAACACAGCTAAATTAAAATTAATTTTGTATAATAAGTCAAAGTAGTTTAAACATATTTGAGGTTTTCTTACCACTAAAATTAGAGGCTTCAAAACTGATTATGGTGTACCTATACAACATTTTGTGATATAAAAACACCCTGAGTGTTCCAGGTGAAAAAATCACTGTGTCCTGTTATTTGTCAGTCTGCTGTTGCTTGCCAAAGCTAAGGATCAATGCAGAGGTGTTCGAATTCCCTGGCAGTGTGTGTCTTCCAGATGTATGGAAGGTTGTGTTTGTAGCTGTGTTTCTTGGTAATATGGTGGATTGTGTTTAAAAAGCTTTGTTTTGATAAGAATCAGCAGGCAGGTGATTTTGCTGAGGAAATCTTCCAGTTCCATGGAATGGAATGGGATTCCTCTGTCCTGATGCTATATAAGTACTTTTTGTGTCCAGTCTCACTGACAGTTTTAATGTTACTCATTGATGTACATGATCAAATATATGTAAAACATTTCTGAACTTACTCTTATCTGTAACTGTATTAATGTCCTATAGATTTTAGTTGGCAATTTTCCTCCAGGAAAATGGCAAATTCTTAACAATTCCAGGTAAAATACAGTCCTAGCCTGGGAGGAATACATCTTTGACTGCATTATGAATAGAACATTCAGGAGAGAAATTAAAGGCAGAGACACTGTCATGTCCTGCAGTACAAATACAGACATCTCCCAGCAGGCAATTATGGAGGGGTTTTTTTCCTCTCAAGTACTTGCTCAGAAATTGCAGTGAAAAAAGCTTGGTTTAGATGGAACAGCACAATTTATGTGCAGCACAAACAGGTCCCAAGCCAGCATCAGCCTGGGCTCCTCAGGGCTGTGAGGGTCAGTCCCCACATCACCTCAGTGACCCAAATAATTTCCTAGCTCGTTGGCTTTTTTTTGTTTTCAGCCACGGGTGAAAAACTTGTGGAGCTACTTTACTACAAAAAGATGAAAAAGACATTAAAAAACCCCCAAAGCAATGGGAAGGAGAGCTTGGAGAACCTGTTGATTGTCTGGCAGGGGATGGGGGTGGCTGGGGCGTGTGGGGTGATCTGAGGGGGCTCAGGGAATGGAGGGGGTGGAGGGGATAAAGGGGATGGAGGGGGTGAAAAGGGAGGAAGAGGATGAATGGGAAGAAGGTGGGGTTGGGGATGAAGGCAATGGGAGGAGTGGAAAGGGCATGGGGAATGAAGGTGATAAAGGGAAGGAAGGGGGTAAAGAGAATGAATGGAAGGAAGGTGATGGGAACAAATAGAATGAAGATGATGAAGGTGATGAAGGGGCTTTTTGGATGAAGGCAATGTAGAGGATGAAGGCAAAAGGGGCTGTGGGGATGAAGGTGAAGAAGGGCAGGAAAGGGCTGTTGGGGAGAAG